TCCGGTTGCATATTCAAAAACAGCTACTTTTTTTTTTTTTTTTTATCTGTCACCAAATTTCTGTTTGTTTTGTTTTATAGCATATCAACCTCAATGGGTCATTTAATGCCGACAACTTTTTTTTTTTTTCCTGGTAATATTTTTGTTTTGTCAAAAATCCATTTCTGTTAATATTTTTTTCTCAAAAATGTATAGCTGGCAACATTATTTTTTCCAAAACGTATTATCAGAGGCCTTGCTGTTGGACGTAGTTTATCATCTTACCCAGGACGCAGATGTAGTTTATCATCATACCCAGGACGCCAAAATTTCTGTAGAATTTTTTTTCCCTTTACACTTGATGAATGCTAAAGAATGAATTTTTCGAAATGTTTCAAGAACCCAAAGGAGTTCAATTATCAAAAAAAAAAAACAACTTGAGTCGTATCACATATGATGGGGATCTCCTTAGTAGGCCTAGCATGGAAACAAATAAAATATAGGAGCCGTTAATAAATAACAATGCTTCAATAGCAGCAACAATAAGAAAAGAGAAGCCTTGATGAATGCACTCAAGCATGACAAGTATCAACAGTAGTATTGTCAACAGCATCAGAGTAGGTTTAGGGCTCCAAGTACTAAACTCGGGATTGTCTCATGGGATAATAGCCTAATGGATTATTGGTTCATGAATTTGGTGGCACATTTTGTCCTTTAGGACTTCATTGGACAAAAGTGATTTATATGTAGATGTGACTACACATGCACACAAAGGAGAATGGACACTAAGATTTTACTCTTTTTTTTTTTTTTAAATTTATGTGTTTAGGTATATCATCTCTCCATTTTCATTTAGTTTTTTCTCTTTCTTTGTTTTTATCCTTTTTGTTATTAAGTATCCCACAAGGATGAAGTGCATCACACAGAAAAAAAAAATCTTTTTGTCACTGATTTTTTCTAATATTTTTCTGGTAAATAAAAATTTATATATTATTTTCTCCCATAATTATTTATGTAAATAAATTTTGTATCTATTAAGAACTGATTATAAACATCAACCCAAGTCTAATATAACCAGATGGTCTGTCCCACTCACAAATCCACTGATTTGTCTTTCATTATTCAAGCCCCTCTTCTATATAAATTTCTTGTTGAAGAAGAAATATGAAGCAACATCTGAATTGATTACTCTACTTTTCTACTTAACACTCCTCATGCCACTTGCTTAATTATCAGTATTAATTATATTTATTCAATTTTTCATTTTTAGCTTTTAAACAAATTGCTTTTTAAAACCAAATAGAACCAAATTGGAAATTTTCTCTAAAATTGTTTACCATTTTGTAATTCTTCATGGCATTTGCAAAGATGGTTGCTATAAAAATGGGTGGTTGGAAAAGAAAAGCATTGTTCATTAATGTCTCTGTTTAATTATCAAAATATAATCTTTTTAATTAGGTTATCAATTAAGAAATTTATTTATATACATTTATTCTTTATGCAGAGATAATTTTGATCTTCCATGTTTGAAAACTGTATCAAATTTTGAGAAGTGGAGGGAAAAGCTAGAAAACAAAAAATCTAATTTGTGAAAAGCTGAAAAATCACTGCTATTCATTTAACAATGAATGAGTACTGGTTAAAAAATGAAATGCCAATATATAAAAAGAAAGAAAGAATTGTTGAAAATTAATAATTGACAAACCATCAATACAAATACAATCTACTGGTAAAGATGCCAGAAAAATTGTTGATTCATTGAACCACTCCAGTAAGCATCTGACACCCCCCTACACCTCTCTGCTATACTCTATCTTTGCAAGAGCCAAATCAAACAAAAACTTGAGTATTACTGCCATATCTGGAATGAAGCTGCTCTGTACAGTCTTGAGTTGGAAAGCGTTTACACGGCCTTGTGGGTGATGAACTATTTTCTATCCTACAACCCCCTTTCCTACAGATGAAACATTACAAGTCTCTTGCTACTCTATAACTATTTCCATGTCAAGCATTCAGACAAGATACATTCTTTTCTCAGCCCTTGACCTTTGAAACTGGGACCTGCTGTGCCACGTAAACAAGTGTGAATCATCCCCTTTATATTCCATTAGTAAGAAGGAAGTTCCACTCGAACAGCTTCTTCCCAAGTACAGCCGCTTTGTGCTACAGACTCTCAGCACAATGTTTTCCCATGATCATCTTGACTTCTTCAAGTCTAGTGTTAACCGTTATCTTTTCCTTTATAACTATTTTCAACAACCTTCTACCTTGAGTGGCTCTTGGGCCTTGTATTGGAAGAACATTAGTATAAAAAATAAGTTCAAACTACTGAAGACTATTACTCTCTCTGCTATGTCTCTTCAGATTATTGATGATTATGAATTCCAACAGCATCCTCAGTTTTTGTTTTTTTTTTCTCTACATTTTACTCTTTTACAACCATTTTTTGTCTTCATGGCACTTGTTTGCCAAAGACAAAGATGGTAAAAAAAAAAGGCTTTTAAAAGATATATTACTGATACTTTAAAAATGTAGACATTTAGAAATTATGAAAAATGAACATATCGACTTCATTTTTCAAAAATATAAGTATAAACTAGCTTCTGTTGAATGTACAATTGACTCAACCAAAAATGACAATAATTTTGTCTACAGTGTACAACTCTCACATTAATGTTATTTATATTCTACTGTTTTAAACTTCACTCAAGTTTTTTCCATTTTTTCTTTGTCAAAATTTATTTTACAAAGTACAAATTTTATTTTAGCAATCTGACATATTTGACATTCATTAAAATGTAATAAATCTGTAGTTTATTCAAACAGCACTTTGCTAGGAATCACAAGCACTTGAAACATTGTTTTAAAAATAAATTGCTCACTTCATTAATTGTGGATTTCAATTTTTCTATTTGTTTTCCACATTTAATCTCAATCAAGTCATAACATTGAAGCAACTTTTGAAATAATTCTATGAAATTTTATGAACTGAAAATTTTTTTTTTTTTCATAAAGTTTTCTCCAAACAGAACCAACCAGACTTTATTAAGTTATACAATACCAAAACTTTTATTTTTATTCAAAATGAATTGCCCACTGATAATTAACCAAAAAGACAAAGTTGACTGAAATTTACTATTTTCACTGCTGAGATTTCAGATATCTAATCTGAAAAATAGATTTTTTTTTTTTTTTTTTTTTGGAACTGGTTATTTTTGTATTTAACCTATGGATCCTATAAAAACATCTATATACTGTGATTGTATGTAATGACATCTAAGAACTTTCCCCACTATTAACATTTTCTATAACAATGTTATCAAGTTAGACTAGCTACACGTACTGGTAGTCTCTGGCATCTGGATAAAGCTTGGATATAAGAAGCAGGAAATAGTGAAAAAATATGGGCTTTTCATATGGTATGAAATTTAGTAATGTTCCTGTCTATATTTCTGAGATGAGGTATTGCAACTATTTACATTGTTCAAACTGTTGTCTTCATATTTATTGTCATATTAATGATGTTTCGACCCTTGTATACTCCAGCCTTCTTCAGGTGATATACGTTGGAATTTCAAACCCTTTATTTTGTCCACCAGGGTAGACTTTTCTAGTTCCACATGCCATGCCTCTTCTGGATATCTCAGTTTCAGTTATTTCTTTTTAATAGCTTAACTCTTCAAGGACACATGGCCCAGTGAATAAAAGCGTTAGTTGAAGTAATCCAGTAACTTGACCCAACGAGTTGTGAGTTCAATACCTGGCCATAGCAGAGTAATAAAAAAAAAACTTGGAAAGTTGAGTTACTAAATGGAAATAACTAAAACTGAGATAGAAAGATGGTCGTGAGAGGAAAATAGCAAAGGTGTGGTGTGTGTGTGGTGTGCATGCATGTGTGTGTATCAAAAATGCCCACTAGAATCCAGGCGCACTTAAAAATTTAAGATGAAGCTTAAATAAAAATGAAACGCGTCAAATTTGTAAACTTTTCCTATTTGTTCTGTATTATTACCTATATATATATATATATATATATATAATAATACCTTGGTATATATTCTATGTGAATCCTAATATAAAATATTAAAACTGATGCACGAAGAGAGCTCAATGTATTTATTATAACAGAGCATATATAAATAAATAAATTGCATCAAATAGAAATCCAAAATTGCCCCATTTAAAAATTTTAAGTTACTATTTTATTTTATTTCTTCAAAATCCTGCAAGGAAGCTCTTGTAGGGTGAAATAGCTACTCAAATGGAGTCATTTTGAATTACTACTCTATGTAATTTATTTATATCTACTTCTCTCTCTCTCTCTCTCTCTCTCTCTATCTATCTATATATATATATATATATATATATAAATAATCTGTTATTAGTGAGCTTATGTTGCAAACCATTAATTTTATGGAGTAAGTTCAATTCTCGCTAGGTGCACCATAATTGTGGGTCTAGTTCCAAACTTATGGTGTGGAGTGACATTTAAACCGTTTGCATCTTTGAAAGTCTATGAATGTTGAGCACTTGAACCCTGCATTGTCACCACACTGAATGATGAGATCTAAATTAGTGCCTTTTGATAGGAACTTCCTCTCAGACTTTTTTCTTTCCATCTCAGCTGACTGTTACATATGATGACCACACAAGTGGAAATATCTTAGCCAATACCTAACAACCATTTTGTTAATTGGTCAAGGTTAATTTTCAAGTTTGTTTTGAAACTGTCAACTGTTTTAGGCCATTTTTACATTTTTTTTTTTTTTTTTTTTTTTTTTTTAATCTGGGAAGATTTGTTAAATTTTCTGGAAGTTTCACACTTGGATTCACAAAATTGTTTTGAGCTTCTGAGGATTGATTATATTAAAGCCAGAGGCAAACTTTTGCTATCAAAACTGTTTACCATTTTGAAATTTGGAATTTTTCTTGCAGGAACCTATCCTCAGGGCTGTGCTGCATTTCACCTGATTTCTCCAAATATCCAAGTAGAAGAATCCTCTATCAAGGATGATTCTGGCATGCAAGATGTTCAATACACTGAGGTAAGCTTTGCTCTTATTATTGTAACTACTAAAAATCACTTATATATTTATATATATATATATATATATATATAAGGAGTCACGGTGGAGTAATGGATAGCGGCTTCGATTGAGGAATCGCAGAGCCGAGTTCGGATTCCAGTGGAATCTATTCCATTAACTTATGTGCTAATACCCTTGGGAAAGGTATGAATCCTCTCCCTCCAGCTATGGGTAAAATAGCAGGACAGACTGGGTTCTATAGCCTTGGATGGCAACTGGTCTAGGAGAAGGACAACTCTGAATTCAAAACCTGCGGAGGGTCGTTTGGGAACCTTGTGGCATTCGGTGCACCAGGTCTCTGTATTTGTCCCTTCAAAAAGTCTGGATGGTCCTGCACGAAGCCATTACCACTATAATCAAATCTCATGTGTCGGTGTCGGGCTGTTGGTTTCCTGGAAACTGATTTGCTTGACCCTCATACGTCGAATCTCAACGGGAGAGTCGATTTTATATATATATATATATATATATATAAACCTAGTGAGCCAGAACCTACTTACCATGGTTTCAGTGTACTACTGAAGATCTGTTAGGTGAAACTGTGGTAGGTAGGTTCTGACTCACTAGGCTTTTTAGATTTTGCTCTACTTAGTATATTGATTACTTTACATTTTTACTTAATTTCCTGGGTAGGTGCTTTTTCTTTTGACTAGGTATTGCAGTGCTGATTGATTTTGATCAACACGGATGTCTTTAGTCTTTTCTTTTGTTTACTGAATTTTTTTTTTCCCTGATATCGGTTTGTTCAAATATATTTTCATTTACAAATTGTATCATCCCGTTTTTTTCACAATGCCCGAGTATAGGTATTAAAATAATCGTGTTTTTTTTTTTATATATATATATATATATATATATATATATATATATATATATATATATATGAAATGGATTTAATCTAACAGATTTTTAATGTATTTGTTTAAACGTTATTTTTTAAATGGATACTCATATTTGAATAGATGTTCTATTTTCATTTACTTACTAAACAGTATTTTTATTTAATTCCATCTACTGGACTGAATATATTGAGAAATCTTGTTAGAAAAATATGCATCCTCCAGCAGGATTCGAACCTACATCAGCGTCATTAGATCGGATGTGCCTTAGAACAACTTGGTCATGTTGAATCTCCTGATCAAACAAAGGTTCAAATAGTACTTTTGAACACATACTGCCCGATTCTCAAAACATACATGTCTGCTGTTTTGTATCCTAACATAAACAAGTACAATTTTTTTCGGAAATAGAATAAATCTGACAGATTTTTTAATTTGTTTAAACATTATTTTCAAAATGGCTACTCATATTTGAGTCGATGCTGTGTTTTTTTTTTATTAAACAGTATATTTATTTAAGACTAAAAATATAGAAACATTATTAAGAAGAATAATAAAAGAAGAGGAATCAAGAAGACACACACACACACACACACACACATATATATATATATATATATATATATATATATATATATATATAACTTCTCTTGGCTGTTTCTACTCAAACAACCTGATTGTCAGCTCTTGTGAAAGCTATTCTAATTCATGCCAAAAATACAAGAAGAATATAAATTGAAAATTCAATTTTATATTTCACAGAATTTTATTCTATTGGTTTTGTTCAGATATATAAGTTGTTCAAGTTTAGAATTTCAAGTTTTATTTTTTTTTTACCTGGTCCTATTTGTCACCTATTCAAGCATTTCTGTTAAAGTTTTTGCTTTTGCTTTTTTTAAATTTGGCTTCCCTTTGCTGGGGCCACCCATACAGGAAAATCTTTTTGAAAAAGGCCCCCTTGGATGGCAACAGGTCTACCACAGAAAAAATGGCAACCTACTGCAGGAAAAAATCTTCCTTGTCAGTCATGTATCAAAAGATACATGATCACCTCAGTGTGTATCATGCATGGCACATAACTGATTGATGAGTCTTGGTGAAGAGCTCATTTTTTTTTTTTTTTTAACCTTGTAGACTGGTGCTAGAGAATCACAAAGAACTGTAACAAATAACAGAATCTACATCACTTGATGATTACCAACAGTAGCAACAACTAAAATGGACAGCACATGTAAATCAGAGACTAAATAATGACATAATCAACATATTGACATTCCACAATACTTTAAATAAAAGGTTAAGAAGGAAATCCTACTTCAATATTTGAAAGAGTGATAACAGCTAGTGAACTTGGGAAACCTATTTTCCAGAAAAATTATGTAAAAAGATTTTATAAACTTCAACCAAAAGTCATACAAGTTACTCACTCAATAAATGCCAAATTATAAGGAAATGGCTAATATTACCATTATGAATAATCTTATATGAGTCACTACTTTTGGGTGTAGGTTTGGATACTATCTGTATTAACAGCCACAAATCATTTCCCCCCCAAACTCAGAAAATGGATAAAATTGTTTGTGTTGTTTTTAATTGGTAAACAAAGGAAAGGTGTGAGTATGAATTGAACCGACCAACCAATCAAACAAGAAGAATCATTTTTAAACAAACGGATGAAGCTGTCAAGTTCAATGTAGGGAAATAGATCTTGCTGCATTCTTGTTGAGAATTTTCAAAAACTATCTTGCTATTTTTCTTTTTGTTTGTCATTAGTTTACTTATAGGACATTTGTGGGTGGTGATGGTGGTCCCAACATCCACCCCCATTCCAAACCCCCAGCTGTCACTTCAACAACAAACTGACTATCCATATTACTATCAGTAAGGTTGGATGCCAGTAATAAGGGGAGTGAGCCTCACATCCTGGCTTCTTCCCTTACCTTGCCCTCATCTGTACCCAAAGATTTTTGGCCTTTTGTACATAGAGAGAGAGTGTTCGAGTGACAAGATTGGAAAGCTTCTTAGTAATGTCTGTAACAATGTAATTGTGAATTCTTTCCATTAACCTCTTTGAAGCTAAGGGGTGAGGTGAGAAAGTTCACCAGTTTTAGTTGAGGCTATTGTTTGCATTTCTTTACTTTTCTCTCTTTCTCACAAAAGGGTATGTTTATGTATAGGTGTGTTAAAGAAAGAAAGATGTTTTTATATATATTATATATATATATACACACACACACGCACACACATTTTTATATATGTGTTCTTACATCTGCTTAAGTGTTTTAATATATGTCCAATTCTTTTTTTGCAGCTGATTACTTTTACCCACATGGTCTCATTTCATTGCAGGTTTATGAGGTCTCTACACATCCCTGTTGATAATACCTTCTAAAATTTAAAAATGTTCCTCTTCAATTTCTCATGATTCAATGTTTCTACTCAACTGGGTTTTCTTATTAAAAAGAAATGAGATTCTAAATAAGGACAATTAGATTTTGTTTCTGAAAGTCACTTAAACTCATCATGAATTTGGATTTGCAGAAGTTCTTATTTTTTGTCCTGTCCAAGTTACAAGTGCTTTTGTTATTTTTGCAGGATACCTTGATTGACAACTTAGAACATGCTGCGAAACTCATTGAACAAGCTGAACGCTATGAAGTCTTGGGTGATATCTACAAACTTATTATTCCAATGTATGAAGTTGCAAGAGATTTTGCGGTAAATGTCATCTTCAAATTTTTTTTGTTTCCTTTAAGTCAGCTTTCTTTTAATATCCTGTTCAAAAATATGCAACTGAAGTCTTCTCCTGAGTAAAAGCCAGCATCGAGGCTTTCATCCCAGCAAGAAAATACCAATTGCACTCATCTCCTTGGTTCTCACCTGCTTGCTAAGCCACTATAGCCCATAGGAATCTGTACCGGAGTGGCATGTCTGATTTGAACAGATGTCTCATTGTCTCTGCTCAGAATGAATACAAGCGTGTTTGCAATGAAGCAAAGTTACTGTTTGCTGATAGAATGAAACAATGTATTGCATCTTGCAAGTTTTGTTCTAAAGATTGTTGGCAGCTCTACAAGAGTGTGCTGAACAACAGCAAATTCTTAATCCCTCCTCTATTCAATCAATTCAAAGTCTTAACACCCACAGCTGATAAGCCTGAATGCTTTGCTTGGAAATTCTTGTCTGACTGAACACTCGACTCATCCAAGGTACTGACACCTGATTTCCCCGCTAGAACTTGAGACTCTATTGAGTGAAATGTGCATAACCCTATTGATGGTATTAGACATCATCTCTAAATTAGACTCTCATAAAGCAAGTGGTATGATGGGATACCAGCCGTAGTCTTAAACAAATGTGCTCCCGAGTGGGCTTCAGTTCTCTCCAAACTATACAACTATTGCCTTGCTGATTCTTACTGGAAGTCTTCCTCTGTCATTCTTGTTTTTAAGAACTCTGGAGATCCTTCTAACCAATCTAACTACCATCCTATCATTCTCCTACCATTCTTCGGCAAAGTCTTTGAGGATTTAATCAATAACAAACTGATTGAGCATCTTACCATGATCTACTCTCTAACAAACAATATGGGTTCTGATTTGGCCAGTCTACTGCAGATGTGCTTATAGTCATAATTGTATATTTATACCAAGGTCTTGATAATAATAGATATGATCAAGCTGTGGCTCAAGATATCTCAAAGATGTTTTACTGGGTCTGGTATACTGGCCTTCTAAGTAAGCTTCAGGGATATGGTATTACAGGATGATCATTTGATTTAATCCAATCATTCCTATCAAACCGTAAAAATGAAGGTCAACATGAATGGGTTCTCTTTCAGTTCCTTTCATATGAACACTGGTGTTCCCCAAGGCTCTATCCTGGGTGCTACACTGTTTCTGATCTTCATCAATGATCTTCCCCTTGTCATCAGTTCTCAAGTAGGCATCTATGCAGATGACACTGCCATTTACTCCTGTCTCAATAGCAAATCCAGCAAATCCTGACAAAGTTAACCTGGCCATTGGTCTCGAAAAGGACCTCTAATCTGTGGTTGACTGGGGCAGGAAATGGCTTGTAAATGCAAACTGCTCTCATTTAATCACCATAGAGAAACCTCACTGCCTTGTATCAGCATGAGTGTCTCACTGCGTCGTCTTAGTTTCACGTTTTCCACTGACCTGAGGTGGAACAATTACATAGAATCAATAGCTGCATCTACTGCAGGGAAAGTTGTTTCTCTGTGTCATGCCAGAAGGTTTTTCTCATCTGAGTATATCCTTCACATCTACAAATCTATCATGCATGGAATACTGTTGCCACATCTGGTTCGATGTTCCCGCTGTTCATCTCTAGATTCTCAACAAAATCCAAAGACAGATGTTTGATGTGATTGGTCCTGACTTCGCATCTTGACTCCAGTCACTTTCTCACAGACATGATGTGGCTTCCCTCTGTCTCTTCCACAAATATTTTCACAGCATCTGCTCTGACAAGCTATTTTAACTGTTGCCCTGACTACATAAGTTTAAGCGTGCTACTAGGTTGGCATCTTGGTCCTGCCCTTTTACTGTCAAAACAGTTAAATATAATCGCCTCTTCTACTCCAACAGCAGCTTCTCTCTCACTTCCCAACAGTGGAACTTCCTTCCTCTTACTTGCTTCCCTGACAACTATAATCTTCAAAAATTTAAATCTAATGTCAATCAACATCTTTTGATGCCCTGATCCCTGTTCTTTTTACCCTTTCCCCAATCCTCTATTTACCCAGTCTTTTTCTCTTACTTTGACTTTCTGTAGCCCCTTGCATACTAGTGGCACTCTCATCTTGCTTGGGGTAAAATACTTATAAAAAAAATATATATATATACTAATTTCGTAGATCCTATTTTTCGGCTGAACTTTTTTTGATGTTTGATTCCACTATGTTGCATCTTTAGTAGTAAGTAAAGGCCAGATTGCTATCCTGACATTCAAAATGGACTGGTGTGTATGGCTAAACTGAATTACTATTTACCTGGAAACATGGACAAAAATGAACCCATTCCTTTTCCAAGGACCTCAGTGAAAAATGAACACAAACTATCCCAGCCTGAGTCTCAGCACAATTCTTGAATTTTATTCTCTCTACTTTTTACCATTTTTTCACTAACACGTCTACAATATTTTATCTGTACTGCTAACACTAATTTATTTATTTGTTTTGGGTGTTGCAGGTTTTAAATTTAAAGGGTTTTCTGCCATAAATTATAAATGTATTTTCTTTACTCTGCTTCTTGCTTTGTAATTTAAATCTTTATAAAATATGCTGAAATCCAAACTATAGAACCTTTTATGTTGATTGCAGTAAATCACCCAGTTACAGAAAATATTAAAGAAAAGTTATTTCTTCAGCAAAACTTTTTTTTAGATATACATCTTTGACCATTAAATGACATGAATTGAAAAGTACCTTCTGCAAGACTTGAATTCTCATCTCTCCTTCTGTGGGTTACCCCACTTAACTTTACTAAAAAAATCAGTCACTAGGGGATGCTCCTTAAGCCTATAAATAGGAAATGACATTCTCAGTCATTCCCTTTTTTCTATTTATCTCTTACACAATAAGATGTAGTTAGCTCGTGGTAAAAATGTGTCCCCCACTGAGTCATGCATGTTCACTTCACTTTCAATTACTTTTCTCTTGGACTTCTCCTACACAAAGTTCATACACACAAATGCATTCTCTTGTTAAAATGTTTTCTTGTAATACATTCTTTAAATGTTTTCTTCTTTCATATTCATTGTTTTTGTCACCTGCAGCAATCTTCTATTGCCATTGTATACTATTGGTAAAAATACATTGTCGTTTGTATATATTAGGTTGGTGCAAAAATAATGACGTAATAATGTCATTTTTGACGTCAAAAAACGACATTATTACGTCATTTATTACTGTTGTGGTGAAAAATATTCCAAGGTAACCCACTGACCATTTTCACTCTTCAAAGATATTAAAACTAAGAAATCAGCAAGTGCAATTTAATAATACATGGAGATAGCTGCATCTCTGAGAAAAATCGACAATAATACAGAATATTTTCAAGTTCTAGCAAACATGCATTCGACACTCGGTAGCAAATTTCACCAACATCAGTGCAACAATTCGACAAATCAAAGTTTCTTCTATTAAAATTTTGTACACCAACATCATCTACACACATCAAAACAAACCAGGCCTTCCAAACAAAATCAGTTTAACATAAAGCATTGAAAAACAATAAAATTTTAATACCAACTGCTCATCACTCTTTCTACTCAACAATCTTCTATTGTCATTGTATACTATTGTTAAAAATACATTGTCATTTGTTTGTATATAGATTTGTTATTACTTTTTCATTTATTACCTGGACTCGCATTCAAGTTCACAATAATTGTTGTGGGAAAAATATACCAGGAGACGTGTTTCCTACCTAAACACAATCAGCATTCCCACATTTCCCATTTCATGTCACTTATTTGTAATAGTCAGCAAATAGAAATATGACAATGCACTTCATCTCAAATTCAGGAAACTTATTACATTCTTTAGCTCCAGCTTAAAATTTTATGCATTTGAATTTCTTTGTTAAATTACCAAAGGATTTCAAGTAAATTTGATGTAAAATAGAATTGAAACATTTATCTTTGTTTTTCCAGAGGTTGGCTGAGAGTTACAGGAAATTGTTTGAGGCTTACAACAAAGTTGTTGAAGTGATGCATTCTGGGAAACGTCTTCTCGGTAAATTCTACCGGGTAGCTTTTTATGGCCAGGTCAGTAAACAAAATTTTCTATATACAATTGCATTCTCTTTTTCCATTTTCAGTTTGAACAAAGAAAGTAATAAAATATGCATTTTTTTTTTTTTTATTTTTTTTTTTTTTTTTTGTTTTTTTTTTTTTTTTTTTTTTTTTTTTTATCAACATTCACATCATTTAGATGTTTCTTCTGGTATGAAATAATCCATAGGAGTTGATATGTCATAAAATAGAAATTACCCCACTTTCCTGAGACCTTATCCTGTTCCCCAAGTCTCTTGGACCTGATCTGATGATCTAGTGTTCCACTTACCTCATTTCTGCACCACCCCACCTCACTTGCATTAGATATCATTTCAGTTACCATCCCTCACAACTTTACACTCTCTTACACTGTTGAGTCACCTCCCCCCCCCCGGGTCACCTGTTCATGATCTATTAAACCACCACCCACCCACGGATGATATTGTTTTTATAATCTTTTCAAATTAACTTTAGTGTCCATGTAAATATTTTTGCTTTAGCAGTATCTTCTTCTTTGGCCATAAATATCAGATTTCATTCCTGGTTTCTTGTCATTGACCTTCACAGCTGATTAAACCCTCCAGTTTTATTTTTTGTCTATTCCTCCCACTTAGCCTTGTAGGAGACATTTTAATATATATGAAGAGTTATTGTTTCAATCTTGGCAAAAGAAAGAATTGCTAAAATGTCTTCCCAATACAAAACAGCTGTCCTGATTGTCAATATTCATGGATTAATCCAATGGAGATAGCAAAGAGTTTCCAAATTTACTAAAGGACATGCTATTCAAACTGAGATTTCAATAAATTTTTGTATTTAATTTTATCTCCTGAAGTAATATTATTTACACAATTTATGTACACATATGCAAATTAGATTGTCCTGTATTTCTAGTTGGCAACCCCTAATATCTACATTATTCGAACTATTATCCTCATCTTTGTCGCCATATTCATTACAACGTTTTAGCCGTTGTACGCTCACAGCATTCTTCAGGTTGTTAGAATGTCGGACTGAACCCTTTATTTCACTCATTGGGGTAGACTGTTCTAGTTCCACGTGCCCTGTTTAATGGATGTCAGTTATCAGTTATCTCCTGTTAATTTCCCTCTGAAAGTTCTCCACTGCCTTAAACAGGTATTGAACTCGCACACTTTGGGTCCTGCCACCGGATCTAACTAACGCCTTTATCCACTGTGCCATGTGTCCTTGAGGACATCTGTGTATGAATTTTTGAGAACAATAGTCCAAATAATGTACATAATACCTCATCTCAGAAATATAGACAGATACCCTAATATCTAATTGAGATGTGCAAGTGGTGTAATGAGAACTTGGAGAGCTGAGTTCAAATTCCAGTCAAAAACATTGCATTCACTTGCATGCAAATAACCTTGAGAAAGGTATGAATCCATATGTTTTCCCCACAGCTATGGGTTAAATAGCAGGGCAGATTAGGCTCTTTAGCCATGGTTGGTGTCACAATTTTGTAAGGGGGTTTAGTATGGTTACTTTTCTCCCATGAGTAGTGATACCATTGCTTTTTATTCACCCATAACAATATGGCCAATACAATACTTCTGTCTCTGAACAATATGCTGTTTCCTTTTTCTTAGTTCCTGGTTACAACAGTTGGTGATCAGTCTAGGAGGAGGAAAACTCCATATTCAAAATTGGTTGGGCATGGAGTTAACAACTCCATCCCGTAAAAGCCTAATGTTTGCTATTGAAACCTCAGCAGAAATGCCTAGCATACTGAGAGCTATGGCTGCATACTCCTCAGGGAATCTACAGGACTTGAAAGCTATGGCCACGTACTCCTCAGGGAGTCTAGAGAACTTGAGATCTGTGTTCTCATCCTGCTCAAGGAGTCTACAGGACTTGAGAGCTGTGACCCCATGCTCCTAAAGGAGTCTTCAGGACTTGAGAGAGTAATATCACTTACTTCTACTGCTCTGGTAATTCTTTCTTGCTTTTATGATGGAAATGAGCAACAAAGTAAATTGCAAAAAAGCCTCTGGTTGAATTCAGACTCAAATCACTGATTCCAATTTCTTCGATAATTATTTTCAAGTTTCCTTGGAGCTCAAACTGCACATTTTATCATCATATTAGAAGGAAAAACACAAATTAGTTATCTAAAAGGTGTTTTCTTTAATAAGGTTCAACTGCCTCTCCTCCCCCACACACACACATGTAATCTTTCAGGAGTTGTTGGATGTTCATTATTAATGGTTATTAAAGGCTGGCATCTAATGCCATAAAATCTTTCTAACTAGTGACCTAAAAAGGTGGCTTTTTGTTCTCCTTTTGGAAACTGAAAAATATTTCAGATTTTAACAGGAAGCTTACTCTAAGACATTACCAGGAGAACATTTCTCATAATGTTGTGCAGACAGCTCCTGTAAATAAAAACATATTCTTTGAATGGAATAGAAAGGAAGCAAGTGAAATCAGGTTGTAAATTCTTGAAGCAATTCTTTCTTGGTGACTTTCCATTACCAAATATGATTATTACTTTGCATTTTATTGACATGGACAGGAAACCAGTTTTCTCTGTGTTCTTTTTTTTTTATTCACCACCACCAATCACTGTTATATTAAAAACAAAAACTGGGAAATAACATTCCTAATAATCTTCAGATTCATCGTTTCTGTGGAGAATAGAATTGCTTAGTAATCAGAATTCTTTCAAAAGGTTTATTTCTTTTCAGAGAAATGGGGCAAAATTAATTCCACATTTTCATGATGTGCTCCTAAATCGTCTCCATAACTGTCATCTTAAAACCCGTTTATATAAAAATTTCAGCAAGATTCTTTCCAATGTCAAGTTGATCATCACTTAGTCATATATGTTTTCATATGGTGCAGTGCTGAAAAGATTTTGATCTGACCCACTTCATTAAATCTGATAAAACTTCAGTGTTTTTTATTTTTATTTTTTTATTATTAGTTTTTGAAGGACATTTTGATCAAACCAAGAACTTTTTTTAGTACTCCCTTGTACAAATGATTTTATTTTTTGTCTGTAATAGAATTATCTCACTTGTGCTGTTGACACGAGGTGGCAGTGTATGTTATGGCAAAATAAGATTTTTCAAAGACTTTTATGAAGCTAAGATGTTCTTTAAGTCAAATATTATTAAAGACAAAAAATATTTTGTGCCAAGTAATTTTACTAATTAACTTTTCCAAATTATGAATAAACCTTCTCAAACAAGGAGGAAATTCTGTCAGAAATTATCATGTTCATTTTGGAAGAAAAGAACAAAAAATATGGGCCAAGCTTTCAACTTAAGTCATCATCAGGTTAGATAGAGATAAAAGGTCAGTTCTGTAGAACTGGTGAGTATTGTAGCATAAATGAGGTGGTATTTTTTTTTGTTTTTTTGTTTTTTTATACATTTGAGGATGTAGGTTCTTACGTTTGTTTATATTTATTGATGGTTATTTTTGTTATATGAGTATCACTTGAGAGATCATAAGTCTGTTTTTATTATTTGATTTTACTAGTATTTTGGTATTGTTTGTAAGTAGATGTCTAATGTTTCCTTATGCTGCTTATTAATGGATTGTCTGATGGTACTCTGGTCTGATAGATGGCTGGTAAGATGCCATGAGAAGGATTATTTGTAATTTGGAGAAATTGATCGGTAAAATTAATCAACACTAAATGTGTTGTCTTATATATATATATATATATATATATATATATGTGCAATTTTTTGTATCTATTATTTATATATTATATATGAGCGGTACTTATTGGAAAGCACTCAATATCAGTGATAGAGCTGACATATTTAGTTGGATGTGAGTTTGTGACCCTGGGTTTCACGCTATTTGCAATCATCAGATACTTACAAATAGCGTGAAACCCAGGGTCACAAACTCACATCAATCCAGCTAAATATATCTTACTTGTTATAAAATGCAGATTGTGTGTGTCTGTAACGTTTATATATTGGATCGGATTTCCTACATTTTTCAACCGATTTCAACAAAACTTCACAGGACTACATAAAATTACCTTGTGGTGGTTCTAACAGTGCCAAAAATGGGAAAAATATAATTGTTTTTGCACGAAATCAATTTGAAAACATGATTAAGAGACATCATGAAAATGGAAGGGGGACAACTCACATCGGGTTGTTTGTGTGTGTGGGTTCCTTTAAATATGGGAGCGGATTTCCTATATTTTTCAGCTGATAAAACAAAACTTCACTTTTTTTTTTTTTTTTTTTTTTTCAGAATGCTTTAAAAATTCCATTTACAAGACAATTATTTATAATAAAATTCTATTCAATTGGGAGACTCATAACGATTGAAAAAATGTTTTTGTTTGAGTTTGGTTTGACCAATTTGTAAAAAAAAAAAAAAAAAAACTAATTAAGACATGCGTGTCCATCAACCTTAAACAATAATCTTAGTCAATTTTATTTTTCAGTCTTTATGATGGTGGATACTTGATCTATCTCTTACTGTTATATCCCCGGCAACATGGGTCTCTACTATATATATATATATATATATATATATATATATATATATTACACAATAAAATCTAAAATTACCTCATATGAGGAATAGGCTTATTACAACCAATGAATTAGTTTTAATATTTGATATTATAGGATCCACTTGAATTATATACTAATGCATTTATTACCTTTACTATATATATATATATATATATATATATATATATACACGCACACACATGCAGTATAGATGTCAATACTACCTGGTATCTGTCAATTTCATGCATCGGTGTGATCTTCAGACTAAGTTGGTCTGAAGATGTCATCAAAAAGTGAAACTGATAGTCACCATGCAGTGTTGGTTTCTGTGTCTACACATTTGTGTGCATACACATACACAAAGGTTATATCTGATGTAAATGATTTTTCAGGGTAAAAAATTAAACCTTACACAAAAAAACCTTATTACTCAATGAATAGATGGAAAATTCTGACAACTGTAATATAAAG